ATTAATTCAAAACGAACTTTCATTTGATCAAACTTCAAATCCTTCAAAACAAACTTTCTTTCAATCAAAATTTTCAAAATTCCTTCTAAAACATTTGGTATAACTTTCAAATTTTCGAATAGCTAAATCATTCAAACATTCAAAACAAGCTTACATTCATTCATACTTTCAAAATCATAGTGGAAGGTTGCATTATTTGTGTAGCCTACAGAACATATGTGGTTACCCGTCGGTAACACCAATCAATCAGAAGCTTCTATAAGAGTTGTCGAATTAATATCGACCAGAACAGAGTTGTCGAAATAATATCGACTAGAACAAACATAACGGTTACTTAAGTGTGAGACCATGTGAGTGAATAATACACACATGAATCTTCATTCCCAAGTAAAAACCACAGAAGTGTCTTCGCACAAATAAGCCAGAACAAAAATCCATCAATTCCAAATTAGACTACTACCCCAAATAAGCAAAATGTTCCTCAAAACAAAATCATGGCATAATCGGATAGCCGTATCAAATCAATCAAAATATCTTTCAAATAAAATGTCTTTCAATATTAAATTAATTCAAAACATTGAGCTAATTTAAAACAAATTTTATCAATCCTCCAAAACATGATTTCAAATATTTCACAAATAAACAAAATATCAATTTCAAATCTTTAAGTAAATCTAAACAAAACTTTATCAAATCATATAAGAATACTTAAAATACTTTGTAAATAAACATAATATCAATTGTCAAATTAGTTTTCAAATCCATAATAAAACTTCAATTTCATATGCAAGTTATCAATTTCAAATCTTCCTATCAAATCCAAAATACATTTTAGTTTTTGAAGGGATATAACAAATAACTTACAATATTTTTCGAAGGGATATGATAAATCACTTCCTTCTAGAAATCCTACAAATCTAGAGGCCTAGAAACAACCAATATCCAAAATGAATCCTTAAATCCTATCCAATGATTCAAAATTCAACCAATTACTAACCAAATCTTATCTACCCAATTTTCCCATTCAAAACACTTTTTTTATACAAAATAATTAGAAAAGTATGGATTTGGGACTACAAAACCAGATCTGAAAACTGGGTTAAAAACCCTTTAAATTCAACAATAACAAACTTTAAAATTACAACAACCGATATAAATCAATACGAACTAAATTTACAAAAAGTTTCTCAATAAAACAAGCTTAAAAACCTTATAATCAATTGAAAATTTGGGGATTTTAAATATGGAAAATTTTCTGTTTTATAAAATAAAACTTCCAAGAATTTTCCATAAAACAATTAACAATTTACTGATTTTTATAGAAAAATCAGATCTGAAAACTGTATAGAAAACCTTTAAAACTTGGTAAAAACATTTAACTTTTCATGTAAAAATCATAACAACAAACTATAATTTATAGGATACAAATAGGTAAACTTTTTATACAAAAAGAGTCTCAAAATAGCCAAAAAAAAGTCTCATAAAACAAAAAGATTCAAACCAAAAATTCTGGAAAATTTTTAGAGTAAAAAGTTCTTAAAATCTTTTATTATAAAAACAAAGATCTCAAAACTTTTCCTAATAAACTGAATTAAAGAACTACAGATCAGGAAGAATAAAACTAAAACAATGAGCAAGAAAAAAAACTTACCGATCTTTGAGAGAAAATATCAAAATTATTCTTCTTTCCTTTTCTTTTTCTCCAGAAAACTAGGTCTAGCAGTTTAAGAAAATAAAACCTAAGGTTTAAGGACTTTTATAACAAACCCTAATCAATCCTTATTTAAAAAGATAATAAAAAGATAAATATTTAATAAAACTCTTTCTTTTTATTTTTTAAATTCTAAGAACAAATTATTTTTTAAAATAATTTTTAAAACAAAAATTTATATTTTTGAGAAAATAAAAAAAACAACTAAATAAAAATAATAATTTAGGGGTCATCCTCATCCCCGCCCCATTGGGGATTTTTCCCCATCCCCGAAATTTAGGGGCGGGGACGGGGCGAGGATTCCCCGATCGGGGACGGGTTCTCTGTCTCCATTATAAATATATTTTTTATTTTTTAATTTAAAATTTAAAATTTTTAATTAATTTTTGTTATGAGTATAAAACGTGAACAAAAAATGGTTAAATGGAATATTAGCTTGAGTTTTTTTAATTAAAAAGTATTTATAAAATTAATATATATTAATATTATTATATAAAAAAATAGAAACAGTAATAAAATATTAAACGGGACGGTGAATCTTCCCCATCCTCGTCGGGGGCCTCAATTGGGATCCCCGGTTTGACCCTGTCCCTGATCAAACCGGCGATTCCCCGATCCAATCGGGTCGGGTACCCGCAGGTTCTTTTTCCATCCCTAACCGCGTAACCTCCCATTCGAAAGCACCCTCGGGTTGAGTTGGGTTGGCTATATTATTCGGTTATGTCAGTTCTCTATTTTGACCAATCCGACAATTCAGGTTGGTCCAAAAATTTCCTCTAACCCAACCCGTGAACACCCCTAATGAAATGTGTGTGAGAGGATAAATATGAAATTCTACCTCTCTCTTAATTTTAAGGAATTCAAATTCGACATCGAGTACAATTTATGAAACATTTAACCATTTTTCGGTATTGTGTACATAGCCACTCCTCGTGATTTCACTTGTTTTATTGTTATTTTTCCAAAAACATTTTTTTGTTGGAGAAAAAAAATAAATAAAAGCACCATCATGAACTCCAGAAAAAAAATAATAATAAAAGCGTCATGAACTCCAAACTTTGTCGCCAACATTCAATATTGCTCAACGATTAAGGTATCCTCGTTTTCCAAAGGTTTTCCGTTTTTCTAAAGGTTTGAGATTCAATCCCTCATCTCCATATTTGTTGCACTAGAAAAAAGAATCTGGTTACTCGCACTTTTTCAATTCGAAGGTGGAGGTTTATGAGTAACAATTTATAAAATATGTCTATAACACATGAATTAGAAAGATGGTTGTAATTGAACCGTAAATCACATTTTGAAGATTACATCATAAATAGGGGAGTGAAAATTCATGCCTTTAGTTAATGATGAACAAGAATACATGATTTATCATCGAGCTATGCTCAAATTGATAAAACCTTTAATCATCTTTTAAATTGCATGGATGTTACAATTTATCCCAAAATATATTAACTTATTGCAATTCAATTCGAATACAAATGAAATTATGCCAAATAAAATATAGTTCACTAATTCAAGCATATTTCATTTATTAAAATATTGGATGTCCAACTTCAAACTCGTGTCATTGAACTAAGGCCCCGTTTACTTATCTGCAATAGTAATCAATGAATCATAATGAAAACTTTGATTCTCTTTGATAGTGTTTACTAAATCACATGAATGTAATCTACACTCGTTTTTAACTTTTTATCAAAAGTACTCAAAATAGATTTTGCGAGTTTAAGAAGAAAGAATTTTGCGGGGRCCCACAACCACTACGATATTGGGCTCTTCGATGAGTTCCACGAGCCAGACCCATAAAGCTGCATCATAGGTGCAACGCAGGAGGGAACTGCCTTTGCAAATACGATGTTAAAATTAAAAGTACGTTATAGATTTCGAAAAAAATGTCAACTAGAAAAAAGTATTCGAGGGTTTGAAAGAAGAAAAAGGTAGGACCAACTTCAAACTTTGTAATCCCATTACACTCCTACAACCCCATCAATTTTATTCTCATTCCTTATTCCATGGACCCCACATATATAATTAATGTACCACTTTTACCCCATCTCTCTCATCCATGGATTAGATCTATATAATTTTTAATTAGTTTTTTTTATACTTTTGTAATTTCTTCTCCATTTATACTCCAATTTCGATTAGTTGATGTAATTTTATTATATAATATGATAAATTAATATTAATTAATATCAATAAATTTTTTAAATAGATATTATTACTATTAGAATAATAAAACTTAATAATATGTTATACTAAAGTTTGGTTGTTCTAAAAAAAACTTGATTTGATGTAATTTTGTTTTAATTATTCATTATGTATTAATACTACATAAATTGTTATAACAAAAAATATTTTCTATCAATAATATAGTAACAAATTAAATTAAAATTTATTATTATTGTAATTTAAAAAAGATTAGCGCAATAATATATTTGTAATTAGCTATAAAGAAGAAAGAAGTATAATTGTAATTGTTATAAATCTGATTCCGATTCCGATTTCAGACAGTTTTAGTAAACAACATCAAAGGAATTCTGATTACGATTTAAAAAAATTTATGGTAAATAATATCAATGGAATAACATTACGATTCCGATTGATTTCATTACAATTAATTTCCATTACGATTGCGAATAAGTAAAATAAATTAGAATAGAATAGCTTAATTTCAATAATCTTAATTTGGATCGATAGTTATCAATATTGTTTAAATATTAGTTTCATCACTGTCAAAAAAACAATAGTGGTAAAAAATCAATCATAAAAAAAAATAAAAATAGTTTCGTCCATGTACTTATTTTCTCCTATTTCGGTATAGGCTCTCAAAACAGCTGAATAACTCAATCGAAATTCACAAATTTTAATAAAAAAAGAAAAAGAAAAAGAAAATCAATTTCTAATACGTTTTTCACCAAAATAATATTAATTTTTTTTTTCTAAAACTATGTTTTAATAATTGATTCAATAGAATATATATAATTTTTTAAGATTGTCAAAGCAAAAATTTACTAGAATATAAAAATTGCAATAATTTTTCAAGCTTATAGCAAAACTCATAATTTGACTTGTTAGCATCAGGATAAGAATTAATATTTTTTCATTAAAATTTAAATATTGAAAATCAAGTTACAGTTGTTAACATTCACGAGTCCATCTCAAAATTAATCGTAGTTTATTATAAATTTTGATTAGCCTCTTATATTTAAATTAATTCGGAACTATTTAGTTTAAAAATTTGTGAAATTGGAGATTGGGTATACATCCGGCATTTGCATTGTCTTCTTCTCCTTCACCATTGGGCGTTGCTTGCCTTAGCTCTGTTAAACCCTATAAAAGCCTCTGTGAATCCGTACCCTACAACTTCTTCTTTCTCTCTGCCTTATCTACCGGCGTCCTCAGTTATCCGCTACCATCGGAGGGAGAAATGAATCCCTCTACCCTCCTCGCTTCTCACTTCTCAAGCAACCGCTGCCCCACCTCCTCTTCTCTCATCAATCCTCTCCCTCTCCCTCTTCGAGCACCCGCAAACTTCAATCTCAGTGGGCGACGCCAATTCAGAGTCTCAATTCCGCGTAACTCGTCCGAGGTTGCTGAAGAATCCGTCTCCTCCTCCTCCTCCTCCTCCTCCTCTTCTGCTGTAGATATCTTTGGTGGCAACAAGGAGCTCACTGGGATTCAGCCCGTTGTTCGGTTGTTACCTCCGCCCTTGAGATTGGCGACCTCGGCCATTGTTGTTGCTGGGGCTGTAGCCGCCGGTTATGGGCTAGGGCTGCGCTTTGGTAAGACCCGCAACGCGGCTTTGGGCGGGGCGGCTGCTCTCGCTGCCGCCAGTGGAGCTGCTGTATACTCCTTGAATTCATCCGTTCCTGAAGTTGCGGCTGTGGATTTGCATAATTATGTGGCTGGAATTGATGATCCTAAGAACGTGAAGAAGGAGGAAATAGAAAGCATTGCCACAAAGTTGGTTTCATTTCTTTATTCTGTTTATTGTTATTTTAGTAAATTGCAGACCAGAAAATGTCCAAGTTTGTAATAATTGACGGATTTTGTTGCACTAATAGGTTTTGTTGGCCTTGTTATTTATTCTTTTCCTTGTTTATCTTCAGATATGGAGTTAGCAAGCAAGATGAGGCGTTTAGCGCGGAGCTTTGCGACTTGTACTGTCGGTGAGTCCCAATGAGTTTCAACTGTATAATGAACTGCTGGAAATTATGGGTTGTCAGTATTCAATACTTAATAGATTTCAAAACTTGCCTTTAGCTTCCCCTCGAGAACCGAGAAACCCATTACATTTTACTCTGTGGCTAAAATTCTGTGGTTCTGTGCCATGACGGCCATTTTATGAAAAGCGAGTTAGAAAGAAGTAGAATAATTTTTGAAAGAGAGGAACTTATGGTTGGGTTGATCAGGGACATTAGTGTTTCCTGTTTTGTAGGTTTATTCATATGAAACTCTATAATATGGCCTTTCTATGATATATGTCAATTGGAGAGGTTTCCCATAACTGCTTTGACTTTTGTAGGTCTTTTCACTATAAGTTTCTTTCTTTCGGTGAAATTTAGTATCCTATTTATAAGAAGGGAAGTGAGATATTTCCCCCCATCCATTGTGAGGTTTGAGCTTTTAAAATATTAATCCTTGTTTGTCACCTCCTATAAATTTTCTCCTTGTTTGCCTCCAAGGCTTTGCTCTGGAAAAATTCGTGCAGGAAGAAACAAAAGAACTTTTAAGGAGTTGAGAGTGACATATATGATTTATGGAGATGGTGTTTTGTTAGATCTACTTGCAGTATCCTAGCTAAATGTTTTTGTAATTATCCTCCCATTTTTATTAATTATAGCTGAAGTGTGTTTTTGCAAACTTTTTTAATTTCATCTTTCTCAGTACAACACCTTGGCTATCCTTTAAATAAAAAAATTCTGTTCAAATTTGTATCTTCTATTCTGCCTTGGGGAAGTCAAGATCTTAAAGGTGGCGAGGCCATCACAATTTTATCAAGCTCAATAATGCATTGCCTCCTATTTTTGGTATATTGTTTCCTCACAATATTTTGCTTCACATTAATTTTTTTTTTTCAGATTTGTGTCTTCTGTTCTTCCTCCGGGAAGTGAAGATCTTAAAGGTGATGAGGTCGACATGATTATCAAATTTAAAAGTGCCTTGGGCATTGATGACCCTGATGCAGCTGGTATGCATATGGAGGCAAGTATTCTGTAGGGGTCTTTGCACCGTGGAATATAAGCATTTTCGTGGTGGTTGGTTATATTAATTATACATGATCCTCAAGAAAGCTAATTATTCTTTTGGGTTTATAGCTTGGTAGAAGAATTTTTAGGCAACGGCTAGAAACTGGAGATCGTGATGGTGACCTAGAGCAACGTCGGGTATGATGCTTGTGCTTATGAGTATAAATATTGGTCGAGAATATCTGCTGTGGTCTTGAAAATTGGGCGTGACCATTAAGTGTGAACCTCCAGTGCAGGCGTTTCAGAAACTTGTATACGTATCGACCCTTGTATTTGGAGAAGCATCATCTTTTCTTTTACCTTGGAAACGTGTTTTTAAGGTTACTGATTCCCAGGTATCCAACTCACTTCTCATGAAATACAGTTAAATACAATGTTATGCCGTTAAATTCAATTTGTATGCTCAACTCTTGATTTGGTACATTTGATTTGACAATTTTTTTATAATGTTTTTACTCAGGTTGAGATTGCCACCCGTGACAATGCTCAACGCTTGTATCTTTCCAAGCTAAAATTAGTTGGAAGAGGTAAATATGTTGTAAGCAAATACCAATTCAGGATTTTCCTGGGATAAACTTAGGTTCTTATGTTATCAAGTAATATGCACTGTTCGAAATGCTGCTTGGTTTGACCTCGTTTCTTCCTTTGCTCTTTTTCCTTTCTTTAAAAAAAAAAACTTTTGCACTTGGAAATTACATTTTCCCGGTTGAGAAATGATTAAATATAACTAAACAGTAATATCTTAGTCTAATTTCAATGAGAAATTTCAGTTAAAAATTCAGATTATGATCTTGATTAAACATGTAAATCAAAATTATATATAAGCCAATTATTTTGTTAAAAGCATCTCAAATATTGTGCTTATTTTTATCCTGATCAGTAAATAATTGATGCAATCCTTTTAGATATTAATGCGGAGCAGCTCATAAGCCTCAAAGATGCACAGAGTTTGTATAAACTTTCCGATGAGGTATCTCAACTTCTCATTTCAAGAGCTTTTCTAAAGAGTTCATAACTGTTTCTCGTGACATTATGGTTTATTTTCTTGCAGCTGGCAGATGATTTGTTTAAGGAGCATACAAGAAAGCTGGTTGAGGAAAATATATCAGCAGCACTCAGCATACTCAAGTCTAGGACAAGGGCAACGTATGGTTACTGTTCCTTCAGTCTAGTTTCAGTTATTAGTTTTTATCAAAGCCACATAGCTTCCTTTTAATTCTTTCATTATTATACAGTTGAATTAAATTTCCTTGTTATTAATGTTTACTTGATGGATCCTCTCCTTTCTCTTAAAGAAAGAAATAGTCTTATTCGCACAAAAAGGCACAGAAAAGTGGAGTAAGAGAAGGCCCTCCCTATTAGCCGAATGAGTTAGAAAAAAAAAAAAAAAACTCTCCAATTGACTTGAATGTCACAAGCTGGCAACTTCACAAATCTTTTAGATAGGATGGACTATCTTGAAACTCAAAAGTTGATTCTATCAGAAGTTTCTTGTGAAGTTGGAAATTTGTCTTTAAAGGTTCAATTATTTCTTTCTGATCATGTAGTTCAAACAACTGTGCCCAACCCACCAGCAATAACCAAAAAATATTTGCTGGTTCCTTTTGATGCACATAACCTTTTATTTTTATATTTATAGTTCTATGAATTTATGTATTTATTTTCGTGTTCTTTACTTCCTTCTATTAGCTTCTATATAATTCATAATAATTTTGGGGTTCCAGTAGGGGAGTCACAGAAGTCGTGGAAGAGCTTGATAAGATACTTGCATTCAACAGTTTGCTTATTTCATTAAAGAACCATCCAGATGCCAACCGCTTTGCTCCTGGAGTTGGTCCAGTTTCTCTCCTAGGTAGGTTTTAAGTTCCATATTGTAATTTTTAATTCACTGGAGGAATCACATATGACTTACTGTTATGCATCATTGGGTTAGGTGGAGAGTATGATGGTGACCGGAAGATAGATGATTTGAAGCTTCTCTATCGAGCATATGTTACAGATGCTTTATCTAATGGCCGCATGGAAGAAGATAAGGTTCATTTCTATTTGTCTTATCTTTTAATGTATTGAAGAAAATGACGATGAAAAAATAGGGTAGGGATGATCACTCTTAAACCCAAACTAGGAGTTCAAAAAACTTGCTGGAATAAATAAAGGTGCCAATTGCATAACTCTTTGATGTTGAAGCCTTATAAGGGAACCCTCGTACTGTTAAGAGTCCTCCCCACCTTTGCTTGACCCTATCATGGAGGCTGTAGAGTCTCAAATTATAGTGAGGAAGAAGGCGTCCACGGTCAAAGAAGAAGCTGAACATAAATTAAAGACCCTGGAGCAATTCTCCTAAATGGACCAGGCAAAGGTGTGTAGGATTAATAGATCTAGGCTTGACCTTGTTTTACATCCAAATATTTGGGGATTAGGAAATTTATAAGTGTGTTTTTCTGGACAACATCATAAGCATTGATCTTTTTTCTTTAACGAAAAACATGTATTATTATAATCTTTGCCTCTTTGGTATTGCCGCTTTTGAGTGGTCTTTCTTGTGCACTTTCATTCTTGTTAATGGAAGATGTTTCTCAAACTCCCCCTCCCCCCATCTTCACAATAAGGAAGAGGCATCTATCTTTCTCAACACTACAGTCTATAAAAGAATCCCCCCCCGGACTTTTCACTTCAATCAGATCAAGGTTTTGCCTCTGGTCTGTGGAGCAAGGGGCTGATGTTTACAAGATTGGACAGGAAGGTGGACCGGAACATTCCTCCATTTCTTCCTTTCTCATTTTCCACTTGAGCAAGAGGTCTCAGTGGAGAGAAACCTTGGTAAATACATTTGCAAGAGATGTAAGGTGAGCAAAAGGAAAGGGTATACAGCCTAGGAAAAGTGTGGAGAGAGGTGAACTCCTGAGCAAGTTATCCTTCCCTTATAAGGATTCTAGAGCTATTTCCCACTTTGAATGAAGTGATTTCAGACTTGAAAGGATCTAGTTATGAAATTCCAAGTATTCATAAGTTTTTAGGACCGCATTTGTTAGCTATCGTGTAATGGGAAACCTACTTCAAGACTAGCAATTGAAATGTGTACCTTCCATTGATGGAAGGAAAATTCCCTAGACTTTTCAAGTGGTTTGCATCCTCCAAATAGTTGAGTGTGTGTTCGACATGCCTTTTTAAATTCTTATGTAAGACCAAAAGTGTGTATGCATACACTTTTAATTTGGTAGTATTTGATTTTTGAAAAAAAGTGCTTTTAATCTCTCAAAAGCACTTCTAAAATTTTTTCGATAATTGTCGGGGCAGCTTGGTTTGGAAGGGCTTGGGTATTTGGGTCACTTCGAAGTCTCAAGTTCGAACCTTGCGGTGAGCTTAATACCAAAAATCCTTGATGTTTCCCGAGTACGGGCCATGAGGCAGGTGCGTGTTCCTCTGGGTATAGGGGAGCAAAGCTCCGACTCCCGGTTATCAAAATTTTTTTTTTCGATAATAAAAAATATTCTAAAAACAGTTAAAAAGTATTTAAAGTGCTTCACATAAAAACATCTTATAACTAATCCCAAAGTCACCTTAAGACACCCCTAATTTGACCTATTATTATTATTATGTACAATTAGATTCAATACCTTTATTTCAACTGCTTTAGTTACCTAATGATTTCTAATTATTCTATTAAGCTAAAGCATTCTCTCAATGTAAATTTTTTAAGTTCATGTTACCGAGCCCAAGATATCAGGCTTCTGTACTTCTCTTTTAATTTTATAATTTCTATTAAATTGCTAAAACATATTGTTGAATATGTATTAGTCAGTTTTTGGACTGAGATACTTGTGATGTGTTGCAGTTGGCAGCCTTAATGGTTTATAATCTAGTAGCATCACATCAATTGAGATTATTATCTTTATGCCAACTCTACATATGTTGTATACCGAAAGCAGTGCAAGTTGTTATAGTTTGGGCTTGTGTGATGATGTTTGATTTGATTTGATTTTCATTTTTTTCTTGATATGAGTTCATGCAAATTTTATTAAAGAATGTGTCAATTAGTCATAATAATCAAGAGGATTAGGCATCCTCTTAAATTAAAATTTCTTTATCATCAAAAGAAATAATTCCACTTAGAATAAAAATTGGCTAAAGTTGAAATAAAATCTTTTGAAATTAAAGTCTAGACTCCATCCCGAACTTAAAATCACTAATAAATCAAAATTGTCAGGCTCATAATTGTTACAAATATTTTTGAAAGCCAGTCTTTCAGTTTTCAAAAACTGATGGATATTTTGAAAGCCACTATTTTTGTTGGACTCACAAATATATATATTTTGTCTCTTATCAAAAAAAAGAAGGAAAAGAAAAAGAAAGCCACTCTTTAGGCCGATGCTTGCTTGCCTGCCTCTTTCATCACTCCCCTTCGTAAAGGATAAGAAAATGATAACATGTTTTTTCCCTTTCTCTATCTCTCTCAGCTTGCTTCCCTGAATCAGTTGAGAAATATATTTGGGTTAGGCAAGCGTGAAGCAGAAACCATTACACTTGATGTTACCTCAAAGGTTTATCGCAAACGCCTTGCACAGTCTGTAAGTGGTGGTGATTTGGAGATAGCAGATAGTAAAGCAGCCTTCCTCCAAAAGCTATGTGATGAGCTGCACTTTGATCCATTGAAGGCCAGTGATATTCATGAAGGTATTCTACTTTGGATGATGCAATTGTTTGTTGGATCTGGCTTCAAATGTTGGTTCTGCGCTGTGAACAATCACTGTCCATTATGAGTTTTTAAAATAATCATGCAGATAGTTAATAACTACAGATATATGAAAAGAATATTGCAGATGGTTAATACATCTTTATTTATCTTTATAAGTTATGATCTATCGTCACGATTATTTCTGAATTACCTGTTATGTGATGAAGAGATTTATCGACAAAAGCTTCAGCAATGTGTTGCTGATGGAGAGCTGAGTGATAAGGATGTATCCGCACTACTGAAGCTAAGAGTTATGCTTTGCATACCTCAGCAGACTGTTGAAACGGCCCATACAGATATTTGTGGTTCCTTGTTTGAAAAGGTAATGATATTTTGGCATCTCCTTTTATTAATTATTATGTCTAGCATTGGTGTCTCAAAGTTGATTTCACTTACTGATTAAGTTCTTGGTTATGGGTTTTCCATACTTTGGTTGATTTCGAGGACGTGTTTCTTGCTGTAAATGAACAATCTGTTGAGTTTGTTTATATTCTAGGCTGCAGTTTGACACTTTATATGCTGGAACTTCAACCTCTATTATGTCAAGACTAATGTATCTAATTTTTTTCAGGTCGTAAAGGAGGCTATTGCTGCAGGTGTTGATGGTTATGATGCAGAAATAAAGAAATCTGTGAGGAAGGCAGCTCATGGCTTGCGCTTAACAAGGGAGGCTGCCATGTCGATTGCAAGCAAAGCAGTGAGTAATCATTCTGGATTCTCTTCGAATGACTTCAGATGAAATTTTATTGCACTCACCTTGATTCTCTTTTACCCATGAAGGTCCGAAAGATTTTCATCAACTACATAAAGCGAGCTCGCGGAGCTGGAAATCGTACTGAAGCTGCAAAAGAACTAAAAAAGATGATTGCTTTCAATACGTTAGTTGTAACTGAATTGGTGGCTGACATAAAAGGGGAATCTGCTGATCCCACGTCAGAAGAGCCTATCAAAGAAGAAGAGGAACAACTTGAAGAAGATGAGGAATGGGAATCTCTTCAGACTCTGAAGAAAATAAGACCAAATAAGGAACTTTCTGTGAAGTTGGTGAAGCCTGGTCAGACAGAGATAACTTTGAAGGATGACCTGCCAGATAGAGAACGAACTGACCTCTACAAGACATATTTGCTTTTTTGTTTAACTGGTGAAGTGACCCGAATTCCGTTTGGTGCTCAGATCACAACAAAGAAGGATGATTCTGAGTATGTTTTGCTAAATCAGCTAGGTAACATTTTGGGTTTCACCACCAAGGAGACAGTTGAAGTACATAGGAGCCTAGCTGAGCAAGCCTTCCAGCAACAAGCTGAGGTGATTTTGGCTGATGGTCAACTGACAAAGGCCAGGGTAGATCAGCTGAATGAGTTGCAGAAGCAAGTTGGCTTGCCATCTGAATATGCCAACAAGATCATTAAGAGCATAACAACCACGAAAATGGCTGCTGCCATTGAAACAGCTGTCAGTCAAGGGAGGCTCAACATTAAGCAGATTAGAGAACTCAAGGAAGCAAATGTTGATTTAGATAGCATGATATCTGAGAGGTTGCGGGAGAACCTCTTCAAAAAGACCGTGGATGACATTTTCTCATCTGGCACTGGCGAGTTTGATGAAGAAGAGGTCTATGAGAAAATCCCGTTGGACCTCAATATTAATGCTGAGAAGGCAAAAGGGGTCGTGCAGGAGCTGGCACAAAGCAGGTTGTCAAACTCGTTAATTCAGGCTGTGTCATTGTTGAGACAGAGAAACCGTGAGGGGGTGGTAAGATATACCTTCTTCTTAATTACTTTCCATTGCAGGTTAACTAAGATTGGCATTATGCACATATCTGGTGTAAATGGGCCATTTTTATATTTTCCAGGTATCCTCTCTCAATGATCTCCTTGCATGTGACAAAGCCGTTCCATCGAAACCTTTATTATGGGACGTATCAGAAGAACTGGCTGATCTGTACTCTGTGTACCTGAAGAGTGGGCCGGCGCCTGAAAATCTATCCCGTTTGCAATATTTGCTGGGCATAGATGACTCTGCTGCAGCTGCAATTCGAGAGATGGGAGATAGATTACACCCTATTGGCGCGGAGGAGGAAAAGTTTGTATTCTGATTGTAGTGCACCCTGGATAGGAATTTTTGTTTTCATAATTTTGCTTGACTGATGGATTGAGATTATATGATGTGGTGTGTGATGTTTGTTGCCAAGGATTGGTAATAATTGTAATGCTCCATTTTAGTCTCCCAATAGCAGATAGCCATATGATCTACAGGTACAGGGGCCATTAGACAAAAGAAATGATATCCTGGAAAATGAATGTGGGCTTACTCTGTGATGGGCCACATGATGTTTTTGGGCTATAAAATTATCTGAACATTGCCTTTGTAAGAAATGGACTGGCATAACACTTGATTTCATAATCCAAAAATACCCGTGTTGAAATTTACAAGTCTCTACTTGAATTGTCTAATGTCCATGAGAGCATTGGGAGGGATGTTTTTAATGATTGATTTTGAAAATATAGACCGACTTGTAATGACATTCTAATCATGGCACGACTCTGCGGAGTTGCAAAATGATGCTTAAAAACTTCTCCATCCTGTAAATCGCCTTCAATTTAGACTTGGCTATTTGAAAGTTTGATTTTCAAAAGCATATGGCTCGTTTGGTAACATTCCCGTTTTTGTTTCTTGTTTTCAATTTTCTTAAAAAATCTAAACATTTTGCAACTAATTTTGTTTCTTGTTTCTATTTTTTTTGGAGCATTCTCACAATTGTCTAGAAATTTTGGAAACAATCAAAACAAGTTTCTTCTTTCTTGTTTCCATTTCGAATTTATTCCAAAATATAAATGAAAAGATTATTTCATCATTCATGGATGTTTGAGCCATACAATTCATTTTTCTTCGTTACCAAATTGGCCTATAATAACCATTTTCTAAGATATTGTAAGAAGCAACAAGGCTTGTATGAATCTTTGAGACCCTTGTTCGCGATCCTCCTTTGAAATGATTGCATTTGAAAATTGATACACTTGTAAAATTCAATGTAGCTAGGCATTGGAAGATTCTAAAGTTTGGGGGATTAGCAAAAACATGGAATTGAATGTCTCCTTAATTAGTCTTACCATTTACCAAGGGAATAGTATAGAATTGAAAGCACTAGTGATTTGACCAAGTATAAGATTCCTCATCCAATTCTGTTCACACATCCATTAATTTAGTTAAATTTCACCCAAATCAGCAATGCGCAGACAATATTAATTAACATTCTCTTGTCCAAGTGTTCCATAATTGAAGCATTACAATCACTGTTCAACAAATTCAGCTGGTTGAACTTTCCCATGATTAATAAAATTGAAATTAGCATAGTCAATGATATTTAAAATTTAACTAAGACAAAATAAAAAACCAGATAAAGTAATAATTATGATTTGGTACACCCACCCACAATGCTTTAGCTCCATCTAGAGTGGGTTTAGGTTTGTGAAATTCATTTGTTTACTTGCTTTTGTTCACAAATTTTCAACATTGGAACCTGACCTATGTAAGAAAAGGTAACCCCTCCCGTCATTAGTAATGTGAGGAATTTGGACACTATATAGTCGTAGTTTGAGATGACAACATTATTCCAACTCAAAAGAATTAATATGGATTTTGAGAGCAGCAAATTGTGGGGGGTCTTGGTGTTTGTTTCATTGATAAGTTTGAGCTCCGACGGTTTATCCACAGACTACTACAAGAGCTCATGCCCCAAGTTGCTGTCCATTGTGCGACGTGAAGTTGTGAAAGCAGTGGGCAAAGAGTATCGAATGGGAGCCTCGCTCCTTCGCCTCCATTTCCACGACTGCTTTGTCAATGCATGTCTCAAATTTCTCGACTAAATCTTAAACCTTAAATCCTAAACCCAATGACAAATTAAAAAAAAAAAGTAAGTCTGATTTCAATGTGAATGCGCATGTAGGGATGTGACGCGTCAGTGCTGCTGGATGACACGGCGAACTTCACGGGGGAAAAGACGGCTATCCCAAATAAAGATTCGTTGAGAGGGTTTGAAGTGATCGACAACATCAAAACGCTGGTGGAGGCTGCTTGCCCTTCCGTGGTTTCATGTGCTGATATTCTGTCGATTGCAGCCCGAGACTCGGTTGTGGCAGTAAGTTCCGCTTAAATTTGAATTTGAATTTGAATTTGAATTTGAATTTGTATATGATAACGGGGTAACAAGTGATTGGGTGGTTGCAGCTTGGGGGGCCTTCGTGGGCTGTTGGGCTGGGCCGGATGGACTCAACCACAGCCAGCTTCGACAGTGCCAACAACGACCTCCCATCGCCATTCTTGGACCTTCCCGATCTCATCTCTGCCTTCTCCAACAAAGGCTTCTCCACAAAAGAATTGGTCGCCCTCTCAGGTACCCTATCCGATTGCAAATTTTCAATTCGACCCTCCATGTATAAAAAATTATCAATGAAGCCCTCGCCGCGCCGCAACTGACAAAATTTGGGTAATGTCGTGGCTATTAGGATCCCACACCATAGGCCAAGCGAGGTGCTCGATGTTCCGAGTAAGGGCCCATAACGAGACCAACATCGACTCTGAGTTCGCAGCTTCTCTAAGATCCAACTGCCCATTCTCCGGAGACGACACCAACAGCAGCAGCAGCCTTTCGTCTCTGGACCTCAAAACCCCATCGTTGTTCGACAACTATTTCTTCAAGAACTTGATTCAGAACAAAGGCCTTCTTCACTCCGACCAAGCCCTCTTCAGCAACGCCTCCGCCGACTCTCACGTCACCACTTACAGCTCCGATTCCGACGCTTTCTTCTCCGACTTCGCCGCCGCCATGGTCAAGATGTCCGAACTCTCCCCACCCTCCGGAGCCGCCGCCCAGATCCGTTCCGACTGCCGCAAAATCAACTGACAAACAAACAAACCTCTCAATGCCAACAAAATTGGGGACTGTTTAAATAATTTGGTCTTGTTCTGTTTCTGTTTCTGCTCTGTTTTCTGTGTTTGTTCTGTTTTCCTTTTGCAAGTTTGTTTCCATTAATTCTAATAATAATTCAAGAAATGAGGAATCATTTATTTAAGGATTGTTTTTGAAATCCATTTGTGTTGAGTACATCGTTCTTCTTCTTCGTGTATTGTTCATGGATAATCTACATTATTGCCTTATTTATAATAAAGGCTAATTAGAAATAGAAATAACTAAAGGAAACAAAAACTAACAGAATAATAAAAAAATGTTTTATTCTGTAAAATGCATATGACATTTCCCCTCTAACGAAAGCGGAAAAAGGCATGAGTTTGAGCAAAAGATAAGTCAACCGAGCAGCAGTGAGAGGCTTCATAAAAGATCAGCAAGCTGAGACTCGGTTGAAATAAACCGAATGTTACAGAAAAAATATTTGTCACTTCCCGCACAACAAAAATATTTGACAGTCCTGGTTAACAGTTGTTATGGGTGTTAAAAAAAACCGACATGAACTCGAAGAACCAACCCAAATTGTAAGGATTGGGTGGGGTTGATAAAGACCCGGTTTCAGATTTTGAGAACCAAGCAGTTTGGTTCCAGTTCACGAGGTCACGATAAAAAATTGGTTCAACCCGACCAAACTGAAATTATTAATATATATATTTATATATATATTTTTTAAAATTATACAACCACGTTCAATCTCAGCAATCCATCTACCTTTAATCTAAACCATTCATTTCCTTTCCATCCCATCTCATTCTTAGGGTCTTTTGTTTCAATTTCCAAACCCACGACTGGCTTCTTTTTTCATCTTTCTCATCTCATTTTCTCCTCTCCCCTCTCGAATCTTCGTTGTCGACCCAAACCCCATAAGAAAAAAGACTTTTCTTTTCTTTTTATATTGTGCAACGAACGATTTAAAATATAAATTTTATAGTACTGCTGTTTCATTTTCTTTTTTATGAAAACTATCTAGCAAAATAATTAGATAAAATAGTTTCGACCTTGTCGGTAAGAAAACAAAATCTGGATAAATACCAATACCTATGACAGGTACAAGGATAGAGATCACAACAAAGAACTCTTGCTCGTCGCTTGAAACCGTGACTCATCACCCACAAACATGCTTGCCGCTGTGACCAAAAAATTTGTTTGTCGTCGCCCTGACCCATAGATTTGCTTGTTGCTGCCATGATCCACAGATGTGCTTATCAACGCTGTGAAGCAAGTGCCGCTGTGAAGCAGGTGCAGGTCCACCGTCCACTCGTCGCCTTCAGTCGAGATGCACATCCCTCGTCACTGTCGTGAAGTTACCCGACAACCCAACCCGAAGTTTTTGGGTTGGGTTGGCCATCAAAATCAATTTTCTTGGTTCCTTGATCTGGTCAACCTGAAAATTTTGGTTTGTCCAAAAAATCCTTCTAACCCGATCGGACCCGACTCGTGAACACCTCTACTAGTTGTCTAACTAAGAAAACTTTTTCCCCTCCCACAGTTATTCAGCAAGTCATAGTATCCGAACACCACAATAAAAGAAATATAAGAAAGCACACAGTAAACAATACAAGAGATTTGTAGTGGTTCACCGAATTATGACTATGTCCAGTTTTCCGCGACGTGGGTTTTACTATGATTGAGATAATACAATAGGTCCCATAAACACTCTACAAAGCTCTCTAGATGCTACAACAATAGCCACCTACCTCCTAAGAACTACAACCCAAGAATCTCTTCTCTGCCAAAAGACTGCTGCCACACCACTTTTTTTTTTTCTCTTCTCATAGTAGGAGCTATATATGTGTGCAAATAGGGGCGGATGCACGTTGGGTCTAGAGGGGTTCCCTGAACTTTTAGATTTATACTATTAGTATATAAAAGTCTGCATCTTTTCATTAAGTGTATTAATGTCCCAGTGGTTGGTGCGGCGTTTAAAACCTCCTCAAGTGCTGCAGGGTTTGAAACTGAACAGGGTGTTTTCCTATTCAAATTTTCGTGAGTGGTGAAGACTTGTGGTTTTAAATCTACCAAAAATTCTTTTAAATTATCTTGATGAATAAAAGTAATAGTTGTTTTGATAGGTATTTTATATAATTAATTTAGAAAAATTTATCGACAAATCTTGGTATAAGAACAAATAATTACTTATAATTATAATATTCAAAATTAAGCTGGTGGAGCATATTTACAAAAACAAACTCTGTTACCTCAAACCGGTTTATCTTGGCTTTATTTGGCCCAATAACTATAAAGGTGGTTGCTGCTAAGCTTAATGAGGAAGAAAATAGGTTTGGGCTTATCTTGGCTTTATTTGGCCCAATAACTATAATATTTTATTTGTGTGTTTTGGTTCCATTTTGAAATATCATCACGAATAACACGTTCTCGAATAAAGTAAAAATCAATTTCAATGTGCTTTGTACGCCATGAAAGATTGGATTCTTAGTAAGGTGAATAGTAGAAAAATTATATCACACCAAATAAGAGGAGGTTGAACTCCAAAAGTGTGAAGATAATAGAGAAGTTGCCTTAACCTTAATAACTCAACAACAATAATAGTTGAAGATCGATATTCAGCTTCAGTGAAGCTATGAGAAACAATAGATTGATTCTTAGCTAACCAAGATATCAGATTTGAATCCAAGAAAACAACAAAACCAGAGGTAGAATGACGATCAACAACATCACCGCCTAGTAAGAGACGTAATGAGCATGTAAACAAAATGGTGTAGAAGAGCTCTTTTGAAACAATAAGCTGGATGCGAAGGAAACAATTTCGATGCAGACAAATAATCACAATAAGGCGATTGCATATGTTGTTGACAATCTGCTGATTGGAAAGGCAATATTAGGTCGTTTAAATGCCAAGTAATGAAGAGCACTACTGATAGCACAAAACTTGCGAGCATCATTCGGATAACAAGGTGCAGAATTTGTTAGCTTTACAAGCTTCAATCATATCATATAGTTTGATAATAACAAAATTTATTCACTAGTGACTTTAGTATTTCAAAATATTCATAGTGTAGAGCTCGGAATGACGAATTCAACGCACTTTGAATGACATGAATAGGTGTTCAAACGAAAAAGTTAGGATAAAAACAAGTTTTGGAAGAAAAAGAACATGTGGCAGCTGGTGACATGGATTAACAGTCAAATTATATTAACGTGTCAATGATGTGGCAGAGCCGTGACATTAAAAATTTTGCTTACATAGTAGATGACGTGTATGAATCATGTGACAACACGTGACACATTCAAATAAATTTAGAAATAATTTAATTATGATTTTTTCCTTCATTTTTAGAAATTTATCTCTAATCTCCACAATCATTTTTAGTCTCCATAATTTTTCAATCTCCATAAATTTCTCTAAATCTCCATAATTCTCTTTATTCTTTTACTCAACTCTACCTTTAAATATTTATCATCCATTTTTTTTTACCCTAAATCTAATGGCCACATTTCATTTGGAAAACTCTATTTAAAGCTACCAATTTCATTACACTCCAATTATCAAACCAAAATCTTTATGTCTTCAAATTCTCCCCTTAAATTGTTTGCAAATATTTCATTCTCTCCTACACATAAACTTGCTTATATTTTTTGTGAGAGATACATTAGAGTGTGACTTTTGTGTATTCTACTCGTGTTATTTTGCATATTTATTTTCAATTTGGGTTTTTGCATTAAGGTGTAGGTACACCTTGGGTTGTGAGCACAATTGGTTGGATCCTAGACCAGTAAAAAAGATTGTGAGTTTTTCTTTAGCCTAGGACAAAAAGAGGGTCAAATGGTTTGGTTATCACCCGTATAAGAGAGCCGGCGTAGTAAACTACTCAAGAAGGAGTCTTTGAGAGTGGAGAGGAGTCTTGAAGAGTGGGGTAGGAATTCTCGAACCACTATAAAATTCCTGGTGTCCTTTCTTTCTCCCCAACTCTTTTAATTTGTGCAATCAAATTTCTTTTGATTTTTGTTATACTTAATTTTATTTTTAAAATCTAAAAGCTGGAACGTAACTTTATTCACCCCTCTAGTGTTGCCATGAGATCAAACATAATCATCTTTAGAAGACTTTGACGCGAAGGGAGTTGTGCAAGGCTTAAGAGGAGTCATGCTAAAATGATGAAGCAGATCATGAGTATACTTTGTTTGATTGATAGCAATACCTCGCATAAAACAAGTATTCTCAAGACCAAGGAAATACCGTAAGTTACCCAAGTCATTCTTGTCAAAGGAGGATCATAGCTGATTAACTAAAGTATCAATATAAGACAACGAGCTACCACTTGCAATATGTCATCAACAACACGACGAATGAACAAAGAAGAGTCAGCCATTGAAGCAACATAACCAAGGGTCAAAAGATGAGACATAAAATACTCAAACCAAGCTCAAGGAGCTTGTTTGAGACTACAGAGAGACACTTAAGAAGCTTACAAACATGCATCGTTAGGATGTTGGGATCAATAAAGCCCTGTGGTTGTTGCATGTAAACTTCCTCATGAAGATCCGCCATGAAGAAAAGCGTTCTTAACATCCAGTTGTCTAATAGGCCAATCACACTGAGCAGCCAAAGAGAATATAATCTGAATAGTGGGCTTTTTTACAATAATTCTGAACGTTTCTCCATAAACAATGGCCTCAGTTTGGTGATAACCCTTTGCAACTAAAAGAGCTTTATGACGAGTAATACTACCATCAGGATTACGCTTCATCGGATATATACCCAGTTGCAACCAATAACACTTTTGCCCAGTGGTAGAGAAGTAAGAGGCCATGTTCCCGGTTTGATCAAAGTAGCACATACTCATCTTCAATAGCCCGTTGCCAAACAATATAATGGATTTTGAGGCCTTAGTGAAATAACAGGGTTTAACAAAATTATCAAAAATAGTGGTGATAAGAAAAATCATATATGAAATCCGTGATTTCTCCCCATTGTCTACATTAAATGATTATTTAAACTAAAGAAGTAGCAGAAGACAATGGTCACGTGAAAATAAAATCATATCAGTACGCAAAACAGGTGCACCAGTATCCGAGGAGGAGGAGGCGAATGGAAGTGGAGATTCATAAAAAACAACATGACAG